ATATGATTATTCAGAACAAATTCAATTTATATATTAATGTAAAAAAAAATAGTGTTCTTATTGAAAATGATCTAAATTTGGAATGTGAAATATCAGCTCCTCCTTTCAATGTTTTATAATCGGCTTGATCTCTGACCCGAATCTTGTTCCCAAGTGGTGTCCATATATTGTCGCTTAAATTCGCAATCATTGCTAAATATCGCCAGGAAGAATCCGCATACCCTTGAATATGCAACAGCATGTGAATTTATGATAACCGAGATATATAACAGTGCAATATATCATAAATCATTGAACTAAGGTTAATGGTAAATATTTTATGACTGAAAAATTTAGATATCAACCTCTTCCTAGCTTCATACTTTAGACGAAATATGCTTTTTAAATTGTCTCCTCTGTTGTAAAGGGAAAATCAAAAAGTGAATGATTCAAGTATATACATGTACATGTTGGCATTGGCACTACAACGCGCACGTATGGGATTTGGTACTCCATCTATATTTTTGTCTGGAGCATTACTTGAAAAGAACCCAAAAGAAACTAAACATATGAAAAGGTGTTTAATAAAATGTGCAGCATTCATCTTTGTAGCTATCTCCCTTTTGTTGAGTTTTTCCCTTCTGTTTTTATGTTCTGTCTTAAGCAAAATTCTAGGACTATACAAGTACATGTAATTGACTTCAGAGAACAAATTAACCACGAATTAAGATTAATACAGATGTAGGAAATCACAAAGCCAAGAAATAGGAATGTCCGATTTTTTATTCTACAGTCAGCAAGTCTGCTTTGTGTTCTCTTAAAATCATATACTGAGTAAAGACTGACAGTCAATGTTCCTCTTATATCTATTTTAAACGGTATTTTATGACACTTTTCAGTCAAATTCCTGAATGATACTAATGATTTATCAGAGCCAATAAAAGTGACTGCACTTCAAAACCGTTGAGCATTTCAAATTGAAGCACATTCATAAACATTTCTACTATTCTTATTAGACGAATCACAACCGCTTGTATATACAAATCATTTGGAGATATCTTTACATTTTTTCCTATTGAATTTGAATGTGATAAATGTAAGAAGCATGTGCATGTCACACTATCTCGCCGTCACAACTCACATCGTAAGCACAATCTTTTCAATTTTTCTAGTGTTATCATTGTGCACTAGAATAAGTTTTCAGGTAGATTGTTTTATTTTCTAGTGATGTTGATTTCTTACTGCCAGGTTCGTAGCTTTTTACCGTTTTTGTCGTTTCTAAACGAAATCCATTTTTCTGTATTAAGAAAGAACGCGTATGTGTTGAATAGGTCCAATTCTTAATGTTTTTTTTAAATGAATTACTGACCTCAATTAAATAAAAAGGAAGAGCAGCATATCATTTTATAGTAGATGAATCTATTGTTCCAACGTAGTGTATTGAACATTACTAGTATAATACTAGCATTGCATAACAATTAATATAATACCACTACCTACTTGTTTAACATTGAAAATATTAACTGAAGTGTTTTTACAATCAAATATCAGGGCGATATTAATTTTTATTGCGAAATTTGATAACAAAAAATTTGATTTTTTACGGCTTTTGCAAATATTAGTTTTAAGCTTTTTATACGCGATTATAATGGAAAAAACAAAAGTAATTTAAATCTACAAAATGTTTTAAGATTTTGATTTGGGAAATTTTCTGATTTTAAAATCATATTTAAAAGTGTACTTTTTTCTAATTAAATCAGCGAAATTTTGCCCCTTTAAAAAAATTTGGGGTATTTTAAAATTTGTAAAATTTACTTAACAAAACAATATGGTGAAATAAAAGTTGAAAATTTTTAAGTTAGCATTATAACAATTTATTGCAGTTGAAAAACAAACAAAAAAACTAAGAAAAGGAAATAAAAACCCCTGTTTCGAAAGAAACCCCTTTGGGCTTGATGCCAGCCAAATTTGCCAACTCGACGAGAAGCTTTTTAAATGGTACAAAAAATAAAAAGATTGAAAAGGCGTTTTAAACTGATTTTTGAAAAGCGGGACATAAAAAAGAAAAAATTTTTTTAAGAAACATGAGCAAAAAATTTTGACATTACAAGGGAAAAGCAAACAAAACTTTTTTCCAAAGAATGTATTAACACAAAGGCCATGAACGGGAAAAACAAAAAACAAAAAGAACACAATCGGAAACAGGAAAAAAAACATTTTGGGAGAAAGAAATGAGGTTTTCACAAAACAATGGAAAACAAGCAACACGGAGATCCTGAAAAGGGGTACTGGCATGTTGTGATATGAACAAGCCCGAGAACTAGCAATCAAGACATTTCCTTCAAACTTTGATTTTTATGAAAAAAAAGAGAAGGAAAGGTTCTTAAAAGATGGGGGTTTTGTGATATAACCCAAAAACTACAAAACAAGCTTTCCTTAAGGGTTTTGATGTTTTGTCTGACATAAACAGAGCTGGGGGAACAGGCAAGCAAGACTTTTTTGAAAAAGGTACTGGGTGTTTTGGGTGACCCAAAAAAAAAAAGTTTTTTGGGCATGAGGGTTTTTTAATAAAAAGGCCCCGGGAACGGGGAACAAGATGTGTTTTTAAAGTTATAAAGGGAAAAACCGGAAAAATTTCAAAAGAAAACATTTTTGGAAAAACCAATGTGGGTTAAAAAAAGAAGCAAGCAAAAAATTTAAATTTAAAACAAGCCCCTGACACATGTTTAAGTAAAACAGGAAGAAAAAAGTGTCTGAAATTGGGGTTGGGCACGGGTAAACAAGATTTAACGGCCTTCACAAAAGAAAAGACCCCAAAGGCATCATTTTAGGTGCCCCAAAGGTTTGATAAAAGCGAGCGCGTTAATTTTAAAAAAATCCCCCTTTTTAAAAGGTTTCGGGGGTGTTGAAATGTTTCAGTTTTTAAAAATCAAAGCGCCTTAAAAGGTTTTTTGGGATAAAAAAAACCCCCCTTTTGTTCGAAGTTAAAGAAAAAACCCCCTTTGTTGATTTATTTTTTAAATGCACATTATCTAAGTAAAATTAACACAATTAATGTATTGTCTATTAGAACATTGAGTTTATTTCTAAATTTAAAAAGGGAAAATATCGTTTTACTTTTGAAATGTATATTAGCTAAAAGAAAAGTCATTTCAAAATATTATAGTAATTATTCCCACATTTTTAAGTAATGATTAATAAATGATAAATTAATAACAGTGATGTGATGATAAACACGAACGGCAAATAGTCCAGAAACGTCAGAAATACATTAAAGGTCACACGTCTGTCACAGTTTGAAGTTAAACTCGTTCATCAAGACAGCAAATAAAATATTTCGTGAACACTCGATACCCCCATATTTCAACTTTACTTTAACAGTTTTTGCCCTCACCATAAATGGATTTTGTTTGCCTTCGTCTGCTTTACAAATAGAGTGGCAAATCCCTTTTGAAATGAGATAAATCTTTGCTATTAATTATATTTATTTTATTCAATGTGGTCATATGTCTATCTGATGTTTGTGTGTTTATGTCTATCATGAAATTTATTTTGGTGCGCCATGATAACTAATATTGATTATTAAATCCAAATTATCACTGAATTAATATTTTCTCAATGATACTCAAACTAAAATTCTGGTGTGTCAGCTATTCCATTGATATTCATTTAATTTTTCTATTTTGCATTAAATAAGTGAATATTTTTTTTTTATTATTATTATGTCTTACATTTTCGCAGGTAGTACCGAAGCGATCCAGAGGATCATCATTCAGAGTTTCAGGTAATGAAATTATTTTATCATAGTTTAACCCTTTACCTCATATATACGCGAAACAACGCACTTTCGACCCCCCCCCCATTTTAAGGCCTGAAATACTGAAAAGACTATTTTGGCCCCCTCTGTTTGGGGGGTTTGAAGGGGGGGCGGAGTCCCCCTCATCGCCAAGAAAATTTTGTTTGGACTTGTGAGAGGCTAAAAATGACCCCAGGTCGATCATAAGGTAACGTGTAACCAACGCTGAAAAGCCTCTATCTCAATCCCTTGAGAAGTTGCAGCACTTTGAAATAAATTTTGATGGAAAAAATCGAGCCAAAATAGTGATTTTTGGCAATTTTGAGATCTCCCCTCGTTGCCATGGTAACAGGAAATTTAAGACTGAACATGTCGTTACAAAGGCAATGGACCAGGCAACATTTGTGCCAAGTTTGATTAGTATTGAATCATTTTTCATACTTTCATAGCAGTTTGAACTTGTAACAGGAGGCTTTTCAGTGAAAATGGCCATTTTTCACAATATGTTCATGTGGGAAAGGGTTAAGTTAAAAGGCTGGAGAAAGTGTGATTCCTCGGATGCATAAAAACTGTATAGCTACATGAAAATTGCAGACTTGGTTTGATTGAGTCGGCACATGAGGGCTATTGAAAAAGCGGAGCATCCCTCACGCCCCCTAGCACCGGCTTGAGCGGTACTCAATTTTCAACGCTAAAAGTGATAGAATCAATGATCCCGAAAGACCAGAAAATATAAGAAGCCATACTCGTCGGCTATTTTTAAACTTAAGGAAAATTTATCTAAAGTGATTATTTTAAAGATGTGTTCTTCTGTTTCTTAAGTTAAAACATAGCCGCAGAATATGGTTGCTTTACTTCAGTGTTCTTGATATTTTTCTGGCCCTTAGGGATCAAAGATTCAAGCACGTAAGTGTTGAAGATTGAATACCACTAAGGCCGATGCTGGGGGCATGAGAGTTGTTTCATTTTTTCATGACTATCAATAAAACTGAGTCTGCAATTTTTATATTATTTTGTCTTCTGTGCTTCCGAGGATCACCCTTTTTCCAGAATCAATTTGAATTGTTTCCTGCATGTTCTAATATTTTTATATCTTAATAAGATTTTACTTTATATGAGCAAGATCTTTAATTTCTATTTCCATTATTTTATTTTGTTTTCATTTTTATGGTTTAAAAATCATATAATAATCTCTTTTTGTCTGTTTTTGAAAATCCCATACTTACAGATAAATATAAAAAGTATGTGAAATGTTTTTAAAGAACTTAAAGATGAACTTATTAGATGGTACAACACAAATCACAGTACAGTTCCTCTTTCACCACTCACAGATGATTACGATACTCCTCTAGCTGGGTTCTACATTTTGCCAGAAATTGACATACACACACATCTCCCAGGCGGCAGGAAAGAAACAACTAGAGTCGCGTCGTTACATGACCTGTTTAAATCCGATGTTAATGTTCCACGGGAAATAAATTTATCAGCAGTAGCTGGATTTGGGAAAACAGCATTTTCTAAATACCTTACCGTAGCGTGGTGTCAATCCCATCAAAACAATGAAAACTATGTTTATTTTGAAGAAGAGGTAATAAATGTTTTATCTGACTTTAGCTTTTTATTTCTGGTGTTCTTGAGAGATTCAACTAAGGTTTGTGATGTCGATGACATGATCGAGCAACAAGTCATACAAAATCTTCCTTGTTCAAACAAAATGCCTAAAGGTCTTTTAAAGGACATTTTACGTGATGAAAAATGCCTTGTTATATTGGATGGACTTGATGAATGGACTCATCCTGACAATGAATGTACAAGACTACCGAAAAGTATTCCTCATCGATATGCGCGAGAAAAATGTGTAATCTTAACAACAACCCGGCCATGGAAGCTTGGAGTCTCCAACTTGAAGACAAGTCAAATAGATAAAACAATAGAGTTAGTTGAATTCAACGCATACTATTCGAGGCAGTTTAAGATAAACGCTATAAAAATGTTGATAGGCAACATTAAAGAGGATGAACTGAGAAATAAAGTAAGCAGATTTGAAGAACATATCAGAGACCATGACCTTAAAGAGATGGAATCTACTCCTCTTCTTTTACTCTATCTGATATGTTTATGGCTCGGAAATGTTCCAATTGGCAATTCCACAGTAGAGCTGTATACAGGCATCATTCAGCTTCTTCTTTCTAGAACAGAAACAATACATGGCCAGTTTCATTCATCTTGTATAACGTCTCCAAGTAACGTCCCCGATTGCTTCAAAAACTATAAACATTGCTCTAGCTACTACATGTTTCTGGTGAGTTTAGGAAAACTAGCTTGTCATACATTATTAAGTGATAGAAAGGAGAACTCTCTGGTTTTTGATAATGATGTTGCTGAAAAATATCTTAACGAAGAAGATTTGAAATTAAGCAGTTTGTCAGGAATTTTATCAGTAAGTAAAGTTAAAACGTTGATAAATGAAAGTTTTAAAATCTCATTTGCACATAAAACGGTGCAAGAATATTTTTTAGCAATTCATGTAAGTTTTCAAAACACAAATGAAGGTCAGGAAATGATCTTGAAAGAGTGCCATTGCTTACAAAGTATTCTAGACATGTCGAAAGTGTTTGTCTTTATCAGTCATATGAACCCTACGTTAATGTCTGCAATATCAAGTGATTTGATGTCTGTGATAAATGATGATGAGAAAACAAACATTTACAGAACTATGACAGAATATCATTACGTGTATTCTGATCCATTAAAAGACATACAAGACATGTATACTTCATGTGCTAAAGAATGTCAAGGAAACGAAAGCCTCAAATTCTGTCTACAAGATTTCTTTATTGATGGAAAATGTCTACAAGTAAACTACTTCATTCAGTTACAACATCTGTGTCAAGAAAATAAAGGAAAAATAAAATCAATTATGATTGACAACAAAGGTATTTGTAGTGTACAAGAAATTTGCAGTTTGTTCGAACTCTCATATCTTCAAAATATAGAGAAATTATGGTATAGGGGAGAAATTTTAGAAGAGGAAATGATAAGCTTGATTTTGCACCCTTTAAAATGTATAGCTGTAAGATCTAGCAAATGGAAATATGATACATTTGAACGACATTTATGCCATCTATCTGGAGAGCTATATAGACGACTGGTAAAATTACCGCACCTGGAGTGTTTAAAAATAAGCAGTTTTACTATGACCCACGAGGTAATGGAGACATTGTTAAATTTCCTCACTAGTAAAAAATCAATGAAACATATAGACTTAAGCAACCTGTACTGTAGTGATCACGGTAATACTTCATGTTGGGGCTTTAACATTGACCTGTCACAACATTTACATCTAAGAGGTTTAGGATTGTACACTATACCCGTGTCACAGTTAAAAATGAATGTATCGTTGTTAGAGAAATGTACTGTTGGTAACTTATATGAACCTGGCGTTGTGTCATCATATCTCAGCCGACTCCCTGAAGCAAGTAAACTACAAATATTTAGGTGTTTCCATTTAAAATCTTCCAGTGACATTGATACAATGATACTCAAATTGCCCTTGTTACTTTATGTGAAAGATGTCTGGTTGGCAGGAATAAATCTTGGTAAAAGAACAATAAAACTGTCACCTGAAATGCGCAATTTAAAACTGGTGTTTTTAGATGTTATTACAATGTCTTGTTCAGTGTTACATGATCTAATTAAAGTCATAAACAAACTACCACAAACTGTAACAATAAGGATAGAAGGTTGTTATATAAAAACAAAGAGAGAATTTGAAAATTTTAAAAGATTTGTCAAGCACTCTGATAAATTTTTTATCAATTATGATGGCACTATGCAGTCTCGAAAGTACGGGTTTGAGTTTAAAACAGCTAATTAAAATTGAAATAAAAAGGCGTGTAGAAACAATTTATTAAATATGTAGTGACAATTGTTACGGATTAATGTTATACTGTTTTTATTACTGTTTAAATCAAACTACTGCACAAGTTACATTAACTTAAAGGATGGCTGGTTGTGACATCTTGTACGTCTTGTCGTATAATACAAGCAACAGAATTTAAAACATTCAGACAGGTTTGATGGCACCAATAGGTCTTAAAGGTTACAACTTAATTCTGTAAAGTGTGGGTTTGAGCTGAAAACAAGAACAAATTTGAAATTAAAGATATTCTATGCTCATCGTTGTGTTAAATATTTCTGTTGCAAAAATGTATTGAAATATAGGAAATTCCTAATGTCTAATTTGAAAAAAAAATGAATGTGAAAGCTATGTTGGGAATCTGCATTTCCTCTTTATTAATTGACAGGTTAAAATATTTCTTTCTTGAAAGAAACAGCCACGTTTAAATGACACTAAGTATTCATACTGTCAAATCGTGTTGTCAGTTACATGTATACGATAATCCTCCCCATTTATTGCTTTTTGATTTTGTTTTTATGTTGTTGTTGTTGTTTTTTTGTTTTGTTTTGTTTTGTATTTTATTTTTGTTGTTTTTTTTTTTTTTTTTTTGTTTTTTTTTTGGGGGGGGGGGTGCCTAGAAATGCCTTTGATCTATAGTCGTCAAACTTAAGATCGTTAGAGGGCGCGTGCACGCGCCGTCTAGTAGATATGCATTTGTCCGTATAGCAATGGGGAAAATATTAGACTTGATTTTGTGCATTTTTTTTGTTTTAACAAAATCAAATTGTTTTCAAATTTTCTAATAAAAATAACTTTTCTGATGTACAACATGTCACGGAGCTATAAAGGATTAAAATAAACGTTTAACTGAAGTGATAGTGTCATGTTTGAATATTATATTCTTTTTATTATCTACCTAACAAATAACGTAGTCTATAGTTGATGGTTCTAAAACCCGTTGAGACACGTCTTTAATCTAATGACGGGCATGGAAAAAGAGGTATCACTAAAATATGCCACGGAGATTATTTTGGCGCTACGGACACAGCGGAAATATTTTTTGCAAAATAATTTATTCATAACTATTATTTGATATTACAGACATATTTGTAAAATAACAGACAGTTCGTCCTCAAAATCATTCGAACATTATGCAATTCCCACCAATATTTAAATGGACATATTCTAGGCACATATTGTCTTGAATTTATTTCTAAGTCTACCAATCATTTCAATTTCACTTGTTATCCAATATATTTTGCTTCGACCAGACGTTTCAATCTTTGTCGCAACAGATAAACATTTCAGAATTTCAGACACATACCAAGAACATTGAGAAAAAATTAATAAGTGCTTCGAATATTCAACTGTAATAGAGAAAGATTTTCAATTCTGATTTTGTACATTACCTGTGACTGTTCACATCATTTGGCGGCGTCTTTGATGTGCAGCATCAACATTTAACTTGTTTCTCTTATTGTAGTAAAGATCCCTTTCGTTGTTGGGGAAGATGCTTGAAATTCTATGTAATTGTGTAATTGTGACCCATGATTAGAGGATATTTGTTTGTTTGTGTGTAAGATGAAATTTTATTTCATCGAGGGCATAGGCTTTAAAAGCAGTATTCTCACTCGTGGCATAGCCACGAGTGAGAATACTGTTTTTAAAGTTCACGAGATGAAATAAAATTACATCTTACACAACAAAGAAACAAACTTTCTTTTTATTTTATGCTTAAAAACAAGTTGAAACCAAATTTCCATAATATCAACGTTAATATTAAAATCTGTTTTCCCCGTTGAGAGCCCCATTTAGTCGGAATTTCTCATTAAATACAAGAAGTCTTGAGCTAAAAAATTAGTTCCACAATCAATGTTAAATAACGGTGATATTATTCATTTTATTTAAAATAATATGAATGATCGCTTGTTTTAATAATAAAAACGAACAATTCTTGTAGGAGAAAAAGTCCAACCATCCATCCATATTTCCGTTACTTACTGCGAATTTATATCAGACCTGGCTTTGTTAAATGTAAGCGGCAGCCGTTTTTTAAAGTTGTGTATTTCACGGGAGAAAAATAATTGTGTTTGATTCAGAGGGATATCATTTGGATTTGTTAGTTTGTTACACCTTTTTAAACGAAAGAAAACTTATTTGAGGATTGTAATAGACAAAAAATAAGTGTTGACAAATGTGAAAGCATTCTAATAGCAGCAAAGAAAATGGAAAACTTTAAGGCTGGCTCAGGAACGCTGGGTTGTTTACTTATTCTACAGGGATAGCTGTCATTGCTTTTCAAATTTTATAAAGCATACGTCAGTTATTGCTCGTAGGATACTTTAATATATGCCCAAATGTCATCAAGAGCAGTTTTGCATGTGGAAGGAATGTATTTTTCAGACTGTAAAAATGAAACAAAAAAAATTAGAGACGAAATTTGGTGACTGGAATTTGAATGAATAGAAGTAAGTTTTCTTCTTTTTATTACTTTTGACATTTAAGTTATTTATCAATTTCAGCTTTGCTTTTCTTTAAACAGCCTGACATTGTCAGAATTGTCAGCAAAAATAAAATTGAGGTACCACATGGGGAAAATCTTAAAAAAGTAGTTTCGTCATTGAAAAGTGTGAAATTAAATTTTGATAATTTTCACTGTGAAATTATCAAATATAATTTTTACGGATAAATCAGTAATCCACTGAAAAGCATTAAAGTGCTCTATTACTAAAGAATAATTATAGCTTTCACTTTGAAAAAGGCCTCTTTTATTTTTGGCGCCTAAGGTGATATCAATGCGACATGGCATGCGGAAAGTGTTGTTTCGTTTTGATAATTAAAGAAAAATTTTACCCACAGCCTTCAAACTTAATAAATACGATAATTAAAGAAAACAAAGACGTTACCTACGCGCCCGCAGAAATGCTACAGTATTTGTTTTTGGCTAAGACATATCAACATCAAAACGCTCGATTATCCTTTTTTATACGGGACTGGCATTCCCTTATACAAATCATATATCCTCGTAGCAGTATTGGGCAGGATATTTGTTCTTTTTTAGTTGATAAATTTAAATAAACTATTCCTACTTGCATGATATAATTGAACAACTAATATGCATATAAATTTACACAGTCGATGTGACGTAGTGTATTGTTTAAAAAAAACTTTTTTACTCTTTTTATTTTTACAATTTTAAAGAGTGGCAGATGTCATATAATTCATGCGGTGTTTACATTGGCGAATTATAGGGGCAGTGTTACCAATTAAGCTGCATATCATGTCACACAAACGTGTTAATTGCTGTCAATTATCGGCATTAATGTGTTACTCCCAGAGGCACGGTTTTATTGGCAAGAGCTGTGGTTATATACACGCGGTAAGCAAAACAGCGCGGCGATTAAGTAAATGCTTATTTTTTTCAAGAAAATGAAAATTCACGAATTTAAGAACCCGCGAAAATACCACTTTCGATAAAACCATAAAATTTCATGCCCACGAATACAAATGATTTCACAGTATGCAGTGATATAAATTACGCACTGTAACACGTGTAATGATATTGAAATGAAGCAAAGCATCAATAGATTCTCCAGGATGGTATGAACACTAATCGATGAATGTCCTGTAGCTGAAATAAGAAACTTTGATCCAGTAACGACATCATCAATATTTACCAAGGTTACTGGACAATATTATTACCTAGATTTTAATCATTTATAATTTTAAACATTTTTTTTTCATGTTCATGTTCTTGTTTATTTCTAGTTTGAAACAGTGAAACAGTAAACATTAGAAACATAAATACATCTAAAAGATATATATAAGATAGGTGCAAGGTTAAAGCAAATATAGCGAAGAAATAGCTTTTAGCAAAGTATCATTTTAAAACTAGAAATGAGTTTACTTTTAATTTAATGAAATGTCACGTATCTGTCTGAACGAATATGCGCACTCATACCAGATATTAGCATTGAATTAACTGTAATATTAAAATCTGAACCTCGAATCGTAATATCCGGAATGTCCACGCATGCGCGTGAAAGTAAGTATGGCGGGACGTCAAGGGCTTCAATCGTATACTTATAAAATTCCGAAACTGCCTTGTATTTCTCTAAAGCATCATGCACTTCAAAGAGGGCCTTATAAATATGCCACTGTGGACACTTAAATTCATTGTCATGAATGTTGTGTTTAAACTGAATGAGTCCCCAACGACGTTGTAAATGCATGTTGAAGGCATCGCATGGCTGCCAAGACCACCAGTTCCAGTAAAACGATGGCCCTTTTTCATATTTTCCATTTCGCACAGTTATATTTGGTTGGGATCTCCCTAGCATAGTAGGCCATACTTCATCTTCTATTGGTGCATCATGCACCAACTGTGAACTTTCCGAGAGTCTCTGAAAGGGTAAGGCCATTTCAACTGACCAGAATTTATCAATATCACCAGGCGTGTTTAGAGTTCCTTCGAAATGTACAGAATAATTGCATGTTGAATTCCATGATAGGTCTGACGCACTCTCAAAGCCAGTCTCATATGGCGATTTAAACATAAGGAGGTCTAGAATTGTTCCTATAACATTGATATCGATTTGCTTATAGTTAAAAGAAAACACATCAATACCAAGAAGAATTTCTAAACTGTTTTCACTATATATAGCTGAATTGTGTACGTCATTTGTTGCCCACAGATTATTTTCTTGCAGGTATACACCAATATATAAATGATCGTTGTCCCATCTAATTTTAAACTTTGTGTCATAGATTGGTTTTCCGTATATGGTACTTCTTATGTCTGCAAATGGTTCACTCCATGGGACCTGTGCAAATGATATGTCATTTAAATTTCTTTAACTAAATTGTTATGAACCTATTGCTTTACAAATATTTTGTGTTCTTGAGACATAAAATTGTTTGACAGACTTTTAAGCAGCTAAAGCTTGTATTCAGTGTAAAATAAATCGATCCTTTCCAAATGAGAAATGAATATGTTAACATCAAACGTTTTACAGCAGCATTATCAGTTATTTATCCGTTATAGAGTACAAAGATACACAGCAATAGTAGCAGTTTACTTATTAAATGAATGAGTCGTGAGTTTTATGAAGAAGTGTCGCCTTGTTTTACTTGATTAAGCAGAGATAATAAACCTTTTTTGTTTAATTGGTTTCACGAAGCACCACCCAGTTCAGGTTGGCGAAACAGGAAAGATGAGTTTGTCTAACATCGGGTGTTACAAACTTCAAAGCAACAAAAGAGGTCTGAACCACCTCATCAGGAGGAGCTAAGACATGCATAGTATCCATTTAGGCGCCTCTTATGATCACGTGCG